GATGTGGGTGGGTGAACATAAATTACTCCATTACCAGTGACCTATAATTACATAGACTGCCACCAAAAAGACTTTTTGGCAGACAGATTTTAAAAACTAACATGAAGCAACCCCTGTTGTGGCACAATTAAACATGAAATCTATAGGAATCTTTAGCCTACTTTCCTTACCTCCAAGAATAGAGTAAACCTCAATTTAGGAGTAGTCACTTAGAAACCGTTTGAAGTTAGGATGTGCCTATCTGTGGGCTATTTATGACCCAGATTTGGAGTTTCAATGGATGCATGACCAAACAAATACAATTGGGGCCAGTTTACTTCCAGTTTTCAGCAAAACCATGCCCATAGTAAACTCAATGACTGCAACACTCGCTTAATGGCTACTTCAAAAAGGTCATAAAACTGAGTTGATCACATGACTTACATGACTTACAACCCTGATGGGTAGCCTCCATTATGGTCATAAGCCAACGACCACCCGTATAATGTTCAAAAATTTAATACCAAACATTAATTATTTAAGCAGCATTCATTCCATCCTTCAGTAACATTCTCAGAGTATACAAGTTAAGAGGAAATGAGATACTAACTAGTTTTCAACTTACAACAACAACTTAACAAAATGTAATATACAGGTGAAACTCAAAAAATTAGAATATCGTGCAAAAGTTCATTTATTTCAGTAATCCAACTTAAAAGGTGAACTTAATGAGATAGACTCATTACATGCAAAGCAAGATAGTTCAAGGTGTGATGTGTCATAATTGAGATGATTATGGATTACAGCTCATGAAAACCCCAAATCCACAATCTCAGAAAATTAGAATATTGTGAAAAGGTTCAATATTCTAGGCTCAAAGTGTCTCACTCTAATCAGCTAATTAAGCCATAATACCTGCAAAGGATTCCTGAGCCTTTGAATGGTCTCTCAGTCTGGTTCAGTAGGAATCACAATCATGGGAAAAACTGCTGACCTGACAGTTGTGCAGAAAACCATCACTGACATCCTCCATAAGGAGGGAAAGCCTCAAAAGGTAATTGCAAAAGAAGCTGGATGTTCCCAAAGTGCTATATCAAAGCACATTAATAGAAAGTTATGTGGAAGGGAAAAGTGTGGAAGAAAAAGGTGCACAAGCAGCAGGGATGACCACAGCCTGGAGAGAATTGTCAGGAAAAGGCCATTCAAAAGTGTTGGGGACTTTCACAAGGAGTGGACTGAGCCTGCAGTCAGTGCATCAAGAGCCACCACACACAGATGGATCCTGGACATGGGCTTCAAATGTTGTATTCCTCTTTTCAAGCCGCTCCTGAACAAGTCAGAAGCATCTTACCTGGGCTAAAGAAAAACAGACCTGTCCTCTTTTCTGATGAGAGCAACTTTTGCATCTCATTTGGAAACCAAGGACCCAGAGTCTGGAGGAAGAATGGAGAGGCACACACTGTAAGATGCTTGAAGTCCAGTGTGAAGTTTCCACAGTCTGTGTTGCTTTGGGGAGCCATGTCATCTGCTGATGTTGGTCCACTGTGCTTCATTAAGTCCAGGGTCAACGCAGCCGTCTAGCAGATTTTGGAGTACTTCATGCTTCCTTCCGCAGATGAGCTTTATGTGGATGCTGACTTCATTTTCCAGTAGGACTTGGCACCTGCCCATACTGCCAAAAGCACCAAAACCTGATTCAATGACCGTGGGATTACTGTGCTTGATTGACCAGCAAACTCACCTGACCTGAACCCCATAGAGAATCTATGGGGCATTGCCAAGAAAAAGATGAGAGACATGAGACCGAACAATGCAGAAGAGCTGAAGGCCACTGTCTTCCATAACACCTCAGCAATGCCACAGGTTGATAGCTTCCATGTCACGCTGCATTGAGGCAGTAATTGCTGCAAAAGGGGCCCAAACCAAGTACTGAGTACATATGCATGCTTATAATTTTCAGAGATCCAATACTGTTCTATGTAATCCTTGTTTTATTGATTACATGTAATATTCTAATTTTCTGAGATTGTGGATTTGGGGTTTTCATGAGCTGTAAGCCATCACAATTACGACAAATCACAGCTTGAACTATCTTGCTTTGCATGTAATGAGTCTATATTAGTTTCACCTTTTACATTGCATTCCTGAAATAAATGAACTTTTGCACGATATTCTAATTTTTCGAATTTCACCTGTATGTATGCATTGTCTTTTTGAAAGGTAGAAAGGAAAACCCATTGACTGTTTATATTGAAAGTTCTTCCTAGTTCATTCTCCAGATTAAATAGGAATTAAATCCAGAATTTAAAATCTGTATTTCATGTATGTTATGTGTATTTGTGTATCTATCTCACTTAATAGCAGGGGTTAGGTGGATAGGAAGGAATAATATATACAGTATATAGGATGCAATAAATTCATAAAAAGAAAGGAAATTGTGAGCTGCAGAGAGCACACAGATAGGAAAAAAAATAAGCTTGGATCAGAGGTGGTATTCAGCAGGTTCTGACCAATTCTGGAAAACTGGTAGTGGAAATTTTGAGTAGTTTGGAGAACTGACTGGAGATTTCACAGTATCCTTCCCCCGTCATACCCACCAAGCCACGTCCACAAAACCGGTAGTAAAAAAAATTGAATCCTACCTCTGGTTGGATACTGTCATGTCATTTGAGAATACCTCCCAATGTAAGAAAGCTAACCTAGGAAGTTCAGTCCTCATATTTTTGCTTTTTCCAAATATGCCTCCCTTGCAACCACAGCAATGAAATAGTCTCTTAGAAAAGTTGCATAAGAACAAATTGCACAAGGCTCAAACTTCCATGAAAGATACAAGGTTCTACAATTTCTGTTCTCCGTCTGCTTGCCCCAGAAGCCTATATGTGCCTTCAGTTATGAAACAAAATTTATCTGGGTCTTCACTCTGCTCAGCTGAAATGCTATCTGCCTATCTTCAAGTCAACAGAAAACTACACAAGCATGACATTTCTTGCTTCCCCCACTGATTCCTATCTCTACTATCTCTGTTTGGAGTCACTAACTGGTCTCCAAGGTAACAGGTGACAAAGCCCAACAGAATGTATACTTTGAAGCTGCCTTGAATGGTGTAAGAAAAAGGGGGAAATACAATTTTAACACTGATACAGATAAGGATGACTTAAGGTTGATTCAGTCATGGGCTGGGGACAAGAAGTCCCTGAGGATTTTATTCCGCTAGTTGTTTCTGACATAGGGGGCGGTTTCATCTTCATTTCAAGGCCATTGAGCCAGCAGTCTGAAAGCATTTCTGCAGTCATGTGGCCAGCATGATATCACAGAAGGCTGTTACTTTCCCACCAAAATTAATAAACTTCATATCTACTTGCATTTGCATGTTTTTGAACTGCTAGGTTGGCAGCAACTGGGGTGAGAACAGGAGACTTAGCTATTGCTGAGTGGCATGCATGATGGTTGCAATGTCCCAGGACAATTTGATCAGCTTTTGTGATCGTCTGACAAAGCCAACAGGAAGCCAGATTCTCTTAACAACCATGACACTAACAACTATGCCACACTGTCTACCGTGGACTTCACTCCATTCCTAAGAGGTCTGTAAAGGGGCGGGCATAAGCACACCAGCATGCCTACTGTCCCTGTCCTACTGCTCCCATTTATTCATATTCATTTATTATGCATATACTTATACCTGTTTATACTTATATGTTTAAGTTCATACTTACACTTGTTTTCTCATACATGCTTGACAAACTAAAATAAACAAATAAATTTAACAAGTGCAGCGATCTATTTAGCAACTGTGGGAAGAAAGGTGGTAAAATGGAACAATAAAATTTTGTTGCTTAGCCATGGAAATTTTAGGCTCAATTGTGGTCATAAGTTGAGGACTATCTATATATACCACTTTATCTACATATTTCATTTGATAAATGAATTCACCCAGGCCTTTAGAGAAGATCACTAATCCTCCTTTCTATTCTATGGAGTTTTTGTATTCTTTGTTTTGAAATGTTTCAACAACTGTAAATCAACCAGAACTGCTGGGGGTTGGATTGCATATATATTTCATAAATTATTATTATTCATGGGTAACTATATCAAGAACAATTCCATAGACTGACTGAGGTACCAAGAGTTCTCACCCAAGACACAAATGTCCAGACTCAAATTATCTCAATTCAGACACCTTTAAGTGAAGGCCCAGCTTTCCGGAAAATGCTCTAATGCTGGGAAAGGTGGACGGACTCTTTTTATGACGAGGACGAAAGACATGAAAGGAAAGGTTAGGCAGGGTAGATCATTATGGAAAAAAAATCTATCTGTGGTCTCTGGAAGTCGAAAACGACTCGTTGTCCCACCTTTCCAGGAACAGCTGCAGGAGGTGCCGGAGCCATAACCGGGGCAGCAGAATCCTAATCCGATTTACACAATAAGCAAGAAAATCAGAAGCTTCTTTAGGCGTCTGGGAGCAAACCAGCTGATTATTGGCCAAGCATAATGGAGCATCTCATTCTGGGCGTTGTCGCCCCACTGTTTCATATGAATAATAGACAAGAGATGAAACTCTGGTGGGGGTTGTCGAGATCGCCTTACGTTACATTGGCGACGAGCCCAGAGCGCACAACGCATAAGACATTCTGGAGCAGAGAGGGGAGAAAAAAGGGAACAGAGATCAATTAATAATCTCATTATACAGAAGCGTCTGTTGTCTCACGGGCACGTGATTTATCCACGTGCCTCAGCAAACAGTCTCTTCGTTTAAACCTTTCCGACAGAGCATTTAACCGCCAAATCAAAATGCGTCCGGTTTGCTTTTCTTTCCACGCATGCGCACGCATGTAAGGCTTTCTTAGTCTCCTTCGTTCCCGGCATTCTCCTCAGCTGCTACTATCTCCGTTCCAGCTCGCTTTCTGTTTGCTTAACCCCACGCGCGCCGCTCCCTGGTTCGACCTTCCATTTTTTTTTCCCCCACTATTCCTTGCGCGCTCTCACTTTCACGTTCAGCCCCGCCCCCTTCCTTTACTGAGGAAGGCGAGAGTTGGGGGCGGTTGGGCCGCCATTTTGTTCCTCGGGCAAGTGGAAGCCGCGCGCAGGGTCGACTAGTTCACTTAGACGCTGCCCGGGGGACTTTGCGAGGGAAGAGAACGGGGGTGGGTAGGAGGGTTAAGAAATAGGCATATCTACATATCGGACCCTGCTTCCTCGCTCCCCCCGCTACTTCCGGGGACCGTTTTAACCCGCCATGTCCGGAGAAGCTCCCGCCGGCGACCAGGTGAGCGACCACAGGGCCTTCCGAGCTCCATGAAGCAATTGGCGGGGAATGCCTTCTAGAGAAGGGGTGTAAATGGGCTCGGCTGACGGGCATCTGAGGCTTTGGGGATGAAAATGGCGGTTTCTAGAATAATGAGGAATAGGCCGTATAAACGTGCGCGTCTTTGTGTTGAGGAAGGTCTGTACCGTCTTCCGTTTTCGCCCCCGCTCATCTCAATTCATAAATGTGGACCTGCTATGTGCGCTTTACCTTCTGTTCCACGATCCCGGTTGCTGTAAGTATTTCCAATTGGTATAGTCTTCAAAGACTTACATAGACACCACCGACTTTTTCTCTCCTGCAAGTTGTTCTTGGTAACTCCACAGTCACTTCAATTAAATTCAAGGAAGTTTACCAAAAATACCTATAAAACCATACTTATAACATGCACTCCTAGTGACTTGGTTTAATTGGAGCTTGAAGTAAAATGTCTCTTTTTAAATATTGTTAAGAAACAAGGGAAACAAATAGTGCTTGATTCAAAAATAAAGCAACCTTTTGGCATTATGTTTTCGTAAAAATATAGTAAAAGATTTGAAAAACGTTTCAAAATGTAAATTCTGAGCCCTGTACTAAATTTTGTATAATAAAATTGAGGTGGATATGTTTAGAAATCTGAATTAAACTGACGTTACTCATAAATGCATTAATGTTACATAAATAATATGTCTTTTGAAAGACAGTGTTCTGTGTAGGGATGTACATCTAAGGATGTATATGAAAAGGCTATTAGGGTTCAAACTCATTGGACTCCTGAGGAAAATTAGTTTTTAACATAGATATCCCTCAGTTACTTTCAAAGCTATCTGTTAAAAATGTACAGTTTAAGCTGTTCTGTTGAAATATTGTTACTTAATTGTAGGCAGATTAGATGTACAAATTTTAAATATCACTCCTTTAAACATTAAGAAATAAACATTTTACATTACCACTACCAAAGCAACAACCCAACTTCCCACAAAAGAAGCTGTGTAAGGACTTAATTTAAACAATCCCAAACACACAGCAGCAACCCAGAAGAACAGGAAAACAAAAAGGAGCACCTATACAACAAATTGGATACCCACGCAACTTTATCAAAAAGTCTCTCACCACCAACCCAATACAACATAATCAACACAAACTCTAAAAATAATTAAACTGCCATACATCAAGAATATGTCAGAAACTTAGCAGACTACAACAACCACATGGAATCATTGTATCACACAAGCCAACTAAAGCCCTTCAAAACATCCTAAGCAAACTAAAAGACCCAGCAACCCCAGAAGAAAAAACAGGAGTTATCTAAAACATACAATGTAAGAACTGCAACAACCACCGTGTAGGAAAAAAAGGCAGAAGACTGGCAGAACACATCCATGAATACCAACTGGCAATCAGAAGACGTGGCAAAAAAAATTGTAATTTTACAACATACAGGCAAATTTAACCATCGTTTCAATTGAGAGAATGACAATCCTAGACCAGACAAAGTCCAACAATGCCAGAGAATTTCTAGAAGCCTGGCACTCTTGACAAATCAGCCATCAATAGATACATAGATATTAACAGCATCTATAGACTATGCAAAAGAGACAATTGATCAGCCCAAAAGAGAACAAAAAGACTACAGCGCCTCTCCCATCAGTAACTGGCATCCAGATCAGCATGGATTAACTTCAAGGTTAACTTCAGACCAACAATCAAGTAAATCAGACCCCAATCAAGAAACTGCCAAAGAGCCATCAGTAAACATCCCAACCAGATAATCTAAGACCCCCACAGACAGGCAAGTCACCAGAATATAAACTGACATCAAACTGTACTCCTTACTAACACTGATGGTGTTACCTAGTAAGGGTAATGAAATGTCTTCAAGAAAACAAGCAAACTCACAGAGGACCAAGGACCCCTCATTTCAAGTTTTGAAAGATTGAATATTTAAAAAGACATTGCAAAAACAAATTTGCTTTCTGGGTTCTCACATTTCTGAATATTATATATATATATATATATCTTTGTTCTGTTCATTTTAGGAAAAATAGAGTAAGGGAGGGCCTACTCTACCACACATATCAACCAACATGCAACCTGACTTCTGATTTCTTTTTATGGAAAGTTAGATTCTTTGATCTATATGCAAAAAAACCAGAGTACTAGATATAGTATGTTTTATTTCACTTTTGGGGGTAGATCCTCTGGGTGGCAGACTTGCGCTGTATTCTAAAAACAATGTTCATCTAGTTTTAGTCCAACTGCTTGTTACCCACTGGACCAGTTAGATGTCTCCAGAAGTTCACAGCAAAGCCTAAATAAAGTTCTGTTCTAGCAACTGATATTTATTGATATTCTTCCCTCACTTTTACTAGTTACTGAAACATCAGAATTGAGAATAGGGCAGGAAATTATTTTAGGGTACTGTTTTTTTCATCTAGTTTGAAACTATTAAGCTACTATCTGCTGCTCTTCTTGCTGTAGTATATATTGTATGTAAGTTTTGGCCTGATTTTTCCAGCAACACAACAATTTTGAGATGTCATGTTATGCAGACAATTTTTAAGCTGCAGTTGCTTGATACATTGTGCACTGAAGAAGACCTATACATCTAAGGAACAAAGGACTCAACAATTGGGTCTAATAATGCTTTGAGTACTTTCCCAATAGAAGTACATACAGTTGGATATACAGAAACATATTGCTTAGCCTTATGCATTTATTTCAGTTTAGAGGTGGAATTATCAAAACCAGGAGGTATTTTTTAATATTCTGAAAATAATCCATTTTATAATTCATTTGAGTTCTTTTCTCCTAAGAGAGGTACTTCTCCATTATACAGATGTGTGTGCATCCATTTGTAGGATGGGCACAAAATAGTGAAAGGAGAAAGCTAAAGTAATGTTTCTCAGTGTTGGCCACTTTAAGATGCTGGCTGGAGAATTCTGTGAGTTGTCCACGCTTCTGCTATTGTTGAGAAACTTTTAGAGTAATTTATTAATGGATAAAAAGAGGGAGTCTTAACAGTCTTGATGACTTTTGTATTCATGAATATGGAAACAACATTACAGACATCTTCTTCATATTTAATTCTGTCATCCAGTCTTTTCTTTTTAAGAAAGTCAAGTATTTAAATGTATTTTGAACAAAACATAGCCATTCACTGACTACATCTATATATTTTCTGCTGAAGAAATATTAGCATTGTATTCCTGGGTTTACATACTGTGTGATTGAATGCGATTATGAAGATGTGAATAACTGAAAAACATGGAAATGAAATATCTACTTAAATTAGTTTAATTGTTTGATGATTTCAAACTTTTTTAATGTATGAATTTGTTTATTACCTCCCATGGTAAGTTTAATGGCTCAACCCAATTTTATGAAATTACATATATGTTTATAAAACGTAAAATGTGTAGTGCAAACTTGGAGTAGTCACCATTTCTTGTTAGCATAAATCAGTGCACTTAAAACCATGCAGAAAATGATAGTTGTTTCAGATTTTTAAAGGAGATAAATTGCTCCATGATACACTTCTTTAAACTATTCAGAATGGTTTAGTGCATTGTTTTTTAAACTATTTCTACTCTTGAGAATAGTGTAGAAAATATTGGAATTGGTTCAAAGATCCAAGAGAAAGTCTTTAACATTTTTGGTTCTACTGCAAAAGAAATTCTTCAAAGGGGAATATTTGTAACTCTGGGTTGAAATAAGGAGTCCTTGGTGCTTTCTGAGCTTAATTGTTTTGTTGTAGACATTTTATTACGCAAACTAGGTAACATCATCAGTGCTAATTAGGACTGGGATTTGCTCTTAGTGTATATTCTAGTGCAGGGGTCCCCAACCACCGGGCCCCGGACCGATACCGGTCTGTGGAACATTTCCTACTGGGCCGCCAGTTTGCTCAGCGCCGCCATCTTTATGACTTAACATATTTGTTAAGTGAATCGGTGTAGTTGTTAAGTTAGTCACGTGTTAAGTGAATCTGGCTTTCCCGTTGACTCTGCTTGCCAGAAGGTCTCAAAATCATGATCACATGACCTTGGGACACTGCAACCATCTATGATCAGTTTCCAGGTGTCTGAATTTTGAATTCGTGACAGTGGCAATGATCATAAGTGTGAAAATGGTCATAAGTCACTTTTCAGTGCCATTGTAACTTCAGTCTCCAAACGAACTGTTGTAAGTTGAGGACTACTTATACTATGTAAAAGAAATAATGAACAAGCCAAAAGGGAAACAAAAAGACCAAAACATCTTCCCACCAGCAATTAGCACCCAGATGAGCATAGATTAGCTCCCAAGATTAACATCAGTCTTACAGTCAAGAAGTAAACAATAGCCCAATCAAGGAACTGCCAAACAGGGTAAGCAGCGCAACCAAGACTCTCCAAGATCACTTTCACCAACACTGATAGGACAATCCATTAAAATATAAACTGAGAGCAAACCCCACTCCTTACTAGCATTGATGATGTTACCTAGTTTGACTAATGAAACATCTGCAAGCAAACAATGAAGCCCAGAGCACCAAGGAACTCTCAATATATCTTTTTTCGTGAAAGAAAAAGAATGGCTGATTTGTCCTCAGGTATCAAATTGAAACAAATAGGGAAATAATTTTAGATGAAATTCATAGAAAATTTAAGATTTTTAAAGGTCTTACTATCTTAACATATTTTTGTGAAAATGTAATTCAGTATAATAAGATCATATATTAAATTAGATCAAACATTGACTTCAAGATTTTAAGGGATCCCAGATCAGAAAAAAAATGAAATTGTCATGTATAAGTTTTGTACATTTCATTAAGATTTCCTAATAAAATATCAAAAGAATGGTTTATTTTTGGACTCCTTTTGTCGTTTTTACTAAAATTGTGGGGCTTAGTATGTAAACGAAGTTGACATATTGTAACCTAGTTGATACTGAATTGAAAATACACATTCCAAAAGATAGGGTTAGGGTTAAACTGTTCA